CGGAGCAGTTTTCTCATTTTTCTACTTTCAATATTAAATAAAAAAACGAATGATCGAATGATACACGGATTATTCATCTATCCATCGGTCAGTGGCGGTTCTTGTATGGTGCCCTGGGCGAACCACCCCGTCTGTCACCTCTAAATGAAATTAATTTTACATAAATTTGGCAATTTTATATAAAAGTAGCCTATATATTTAGATTATTACAAATTCAGACAAATAAATAAATAAATACAAAAAATAAAGTGAGTAATGTTACATTTGTTTAAAAAATACATTGTTACAATATCACATTTTACTGTCTGATTATGTAGGCTAGTTGGACAGAAAAATGATTGTTGTTGCCCTATATGTGTAATAACAAGAAAGCAACATAGCATAACATTAGGGTCCGTGTAACCCTTTGCAGTTCTTTGTTCCAGTCGCATCAGCAGTTACTTTTTGCGGCCCTGTGTATGGTAGAAAGATGATGATTGGGATGTTGAGAGCTTCGGGATACAGGTTGGGCAGGGGCGGCGTGGTTGGGGTAGGTGTAGACTTTAATAAAACACAATCTTATATGTAGAAAATAATATTTATTGTTGGTTTCCTTAGCTGTATCCCTTCCAGCCACAACCGGGAATGTAACATAATTACTTCATTTGCATTACAAGGGTGGGTTTAGGGTGTAGACAAGTGGAAAATCAGAATAATTAGTAATTTTTTATGTTATTCAAAAATCAGATTCGGGTGCAACAACCCAAACTCGTAAAATTGAAAATTAAAATGAGAGACAATTATCCGTTTGTAAATTGCTCCAAAGAAATTGAAAATGAAAGTTTGAAGCCAACTTTTCATTTGGTTAATTTTGATGGTGCGAATTGAACAAAGAACTGCAAAGGGTTACACGGACCCATTAGACATATATTAGCCTATTTTAGCTAGATGTGATAGCTGCATACATACCAATTATCTTTAGCGCATTTCCCCTCCTTTTTTTTTTTTTGAGGTGACGTAAAATAAAGGGAATGAAGTGAAAATGAAATGAATGAGCTGAAACGCCGGAGTTTTGTTGAGTGCGCGCGCTAGCTGACTGACTGAATTCTGCACTCTCGTGTATTCTCTCATCATAAAAAAAACAAAGTGCAGATGAATGTGTGATGTAAGTAAGAAATTCCTTTCACAGCGTAGACAGCTTCAGTGATTATAATGGGAGTTTTTTTTAGAGTGCTTAAGCACTGTGTGGTTTGAGTGCTTAAACTAGCGCTAGAATATAGTCAGTTATGTTCTTTGATCATTTAAATGTTCTTTGCTGCTTTTATATATTTTTTTTATTCGCTGTTTGAATAACTGTGTAAATGAAAGCGTAGCTTACAATGTTTTTATTAAACTGTGATCAAGTTAAATACAAATTCAGTCGTATTAAAATACTTAATGACATGACCCCCATATCTGGTACTTGCTAAAAAGACAGGTTTATGATGCGCACTGTGTAAACATTACGCCCCATTCACACCCCATTCACACGGGCGTCAGCGTTAACGCTTGAAGGAGGGCGTTTCTGAAGCTTGGTTCTGACGCGACCGTCATACTGTGCTAGGGTATTTGCATAAGGCGATCTGATTGGCTGACACCTGCGTTGGCACTTGAAAAGTTGAAAAGTTTTCAACTTCTGCCGCGAGCAACGGACCCAACACGACGCGACGGACCCACAATTCATTTTGCCAACGCTTGACGTCACTCCATACAAAGTAAACGAGAGGCGTTGATGCTGACGCCCCGTGTGAACATCTTACAAGATCAGATATTTGTCAATGAGCCCAGGATCTGTTGAGCAGCAAATACTCAAGCATGGTCTTGTCAGTCATCTCTCCTTATTCTCGACCTGTGTTCAGTGAAATCTGACTCTTGCAGCTCTTGTCGGATGCAGGGTTGCCAAGTCCGCGTTTTTTCCACAGAATTGGGTTAAAGGTTTGAAATATTGCATAAATTACATTTGACTGAAATGCTTGTATTGAAACATTTTGCATTCAACCTATGATAAAACTTTCATGGACTTCTACATTAACTGTTCCCTCCTGGTGGAATGACCTGCCCAACTCAATCCAAGCAGCTGAGTCCTTAATATTTTCAAGAAACGGTTGAAAACACATCTCTCATCTTCATTTGACCCTCTAACATTTGCACTCTCTATTCTATTTCTATTCTAACTACTTGTTTTATTTATAAAGAAAGAAGAGCCTCTAACACTAGTATTCTCCATTCTTTCAACTTTTTTTCTTTTTTATTTATTATAAATAATGACCTTCTAACACTAGCATTATCTATTCTTTTTCTGTTCTATTGACTTGTTTTATTTTTATTTAAAAATGACCCTCTAACACTAGCATTCGCTATTCTTTTTCTATTCTTTCTACTTGTTTTCTTTTTATTTATTACAAAAACAAAATAAGCAAACAAACAAACAAAAAAACCTTGCTATGTATACTGTTAGGCGAAGCCCCGCCCCCTACTGTCCTCTTTTTGGAAAACTAAAATATGGTCACCCTAATTGACGTGCCATGCAAATGAGCTGTAAAAACCTGATCGAGCATTCCGTTTATTTATTGATTTTTCTAGTGCAAGCGCCCCGTGCTGCCTCGGGCAAAATGCCGCCCTGAGCGGTTGCCC